TGACTGCACTCTAAAGGAGGGGTTTGCAGTTTGGAGAGATATATTGTGATTTTTATACGTATATACTTCTAAACTGTTGTATTCTGGGCACCTCTGCAAAAACAGTGATTATGTGTGAGTGAGGTGAAAGTGTTGAATGATGATGAAAGTATTTTCTTTTTGGGGATTTTCTTTCTCTTTGGGTCACCCTGCCTCGGTGGGAGATGGCCGACTTGTTTAAAAAAAAAAATATATAGTTTTGCATACAGAAAAGGGACTACTAAATTCGAGGGTCCCCTGTATTTACAACATTTTTTTGTGGAGTGCTAAACCCAAGTGAGTCATTCAACTCAAGGAGTGTTGGAGGCTTGATCCTCCTCTGTGTAAATCATTCAACTCAAGGAATGTTGGAGGCTTCAAATTCCTCTGATATACCTTCGATGACTTTCAAGTCTCACTACTCTTGGAGCCCGGCCATGAGCCATGCTCATCCAGTGCTTGCCTGGTCAACCAGACTGTTACTGCAGGAGTCCCACTACCCCATATATCCATCACAGCCTGGTTGATCTGGCACCTGGTGAAGATACTTGTCCAGTTTCCTCTTGAACACTTCTACACTTGTTTCAGCCGTGTTTCTGATATCTTCTGGTAAGATGCTGAATAGTCTGAAACCCCAAATGTTGATACAGTGTTTCCTTATTGTCCCCACCACACCCCTGCTCCTCACTGGGTTTATTTTGCACTTCCTCCCATATCTCTCACTCCAGTATGTTGCTATGGCAGTGTGCAGATTTGGGACCAATCCCTCGAGTACTTTCCAGGTACATGTATGTATTATCATGTATCTCTCTCTCTCTCTCCTCCACTCCAGTGAGTAGATGTTCAAGACTTTAAGGTCTTCCCAGTAATTTAAGTGCTTTACTGGCTCTATGTGTGCTGTAAACAATCTCAGCATTTGTTCCAGCTCTGATATTTCTCCTGTTTTGAATGGGGCTGTCAGCACTGAGCAATATTCCAACTGAGGAAGCACTAGTAATTTGGAGAGTGTCACATCTGGCATTATTTTCCTCAATACTCACCCCGTCACCCTCCTGGCTGCCATGATCTTTGTCTTATTATGTTGTATGAAAGAAAGGTCAGCTGACATAATTAGTCCCAAGTCTTTTACGTGTTCCTTTCGTTCTATTTGGTAATCCTCTTGAGTTTTGTATACAGTGTTCCTGTTGAGCTCTTCATTCTTTCCATACCTAAGCAGCTGGAATTTATCACCAGTGAATATCATATTGTTCTCCACCACCCACTGGAAACCGCTGCTTATGTCGTCCTGTAATTTTTTCAGTGTCTTCTACTGTAGTGACTTTCATGCTTATTTTAGTGTCATCTGCAAATGATGATACAAAACTGTGATGGGTGTTTTTGTCTATGTCTGCTATGAGGAAGAGAAACAGCAGATCATGCCTGTCAGCAGCTGTGACAGGCATGATCGTCCTGCTCTAAAACCATGCTGGTTCGGGTTATGCTGGTTGTGCTGGTCCATGAAATTTGTAATCTGCCGTCTCATCACTCTTTCGAAGAATTTTATGATGTGTGAAGTTAGGGCTACTGGTCTGTAATTTTTAGCTAGTGCTCTACTACCTCCCTTATGCAAAGGAGCTATGTTTGCACTCTTTAAGGCCTCTGGTATTTCACTTAGAGCTAAGCTCTTTTTCCAAAGAATGCCAAGTGCTCGTGCTAATGGTACTTTACACTTCTTTATAAATAGAGCATTCCATGAATCTGGCCCAGGTGCTGAGTGAGTGGGCATGGTGTCCATTTCTTTTTCGAAATTTATGGGATTTGTAAAAAGAAATGGACAACATGCCCATTCACTCAGCACAATAGAAAATAATGTTGTTTTAGCTTCTTTATAAAGGCAACCAACAACACACTACCTGTTTTATACTGTATTTAACTATAAAAAGACTGGATTGGCCTCACTAACTATGTTAAGGTCAGTAATGCCATAAACCAACTTATGCTAGAGTACATAATTAACCCTTAAACAGTCCAAACATATATATACGTCCACGCGCGTAGCGCCCCAAACATATATATACGTTTTCTTTGTCATTCATTCAACATTGCCACAATAAGCCTGAGTCACCTAGACATGAGAGAATGGGTGTGCGCACTCACTGTGTGCCATATTAAAATAATTGGGGATGCTGGGTACCATATGCTCTTTTTTCCTTTTAAAAGAAAAGATTATTTTTTTCCTCAAAAAAGTTGGGGCGCTATGCGAGTGAACGTATATATACGTTTGGACCGTTTAAGGGTTAATGAAGGACTGAATTCCAGAATACTACACTAGAAGTAGTCAGTGTGTGATATATATTTATGTAGCAAGAAAAAGAATATGAACTCTTAATACAATAGGCGGAACAAGTTTTGTCCCAGCCGGACCTAAACTTCCATCATAAGTGTCTCCTAAGTGCAGGTTATGTGTGTACTTTGTAACATGACATATTATAGTTTTCTATAATAATAATAATAATAATAATAATAATAATAATAATAATAATAATAATAATAATAATAATAATAATAATAATAATAATAATAATAATATGTTAATCCCTCAAAAAGGATCGAAGTAACCTCTCAGTGTATATACACTGAGAGACTACACGTCTTGGTGTATACACACTGAGAGGCTACATGTCTCGATGTTAGACAGAAAACAGTAGTTACAGTGTGATGATGACCAAAACTGTGTTAGTCAACAACTTAAGCTTTATAAAATAAGTTATACAGCCTCTCCTCACTTAACGACAGAGTTCCGTTCCTAAGACCTCGTCCGTAAATGAATTCGTCGCTAAGTGTGGACCCGAATGGAAATAAGTCACTCTGTCTGACCTTTTTGGGTTATCCTACACATACGCTGCTATGTATGATAATCTATGTAACTGTATTTGTGTATACCTGAATAAACTTACTTACACATTACAGTGGAACCTCAAATATCGAACTTAATCCGTTCCAGGAGCTAGTTTTAAATTCGAAAAAGTTTGAAAATCGAAGCAATATTTCCCATAAGAAATAATGGAAATACAATTAATCCGTTTCAGAAACCCAAAAATATTCACAAAAAAATACATTTTATAGAGACTAATTACAGTTTTACATACACACAACAAATACTATAGTGTTCAATTATGTATATAAATGTAAGATAACATTTTTACTTACCTTTATTGAAGATTGGTGATGGCATCTGGAAGATAGGGAGGAGGAGAGAGGGAGTTGGGGTTAGTGTTTGGAAGGAGAATCCCCCTCCATGAGGACTTCAGGTAAAGCCCTCTCTGGGGTTACTTCCCTTCTCTGTCTTTTAATGCCACTAGGACCAGCTTGAGAGTCACTGGACCCCTGTCTCACAAAATAACTGTCCACAGTCCTCTGTTTCTGGTGCCTCTTTAACATTTCCCTAAAATGGGACATGGTTCTGTCACTGAACTGGTTCCAGGAGTTTTCTGTACCAGATCAGCATGCAACTTCCTTGCCTTTTCGCATATAATCGTCCCTGAAACACTATCACCTGCCATCTCTTTATCCTTGATCCACACCACCAACAACTTCTCAACCTCTTCAACTGTTTGTGGTCTTTTTTTTGGTTAGCATATTAACACCTTTTGCAACATCACCTTCCTTGATTTGTTCTTTCTTTGCCAGGATAGAACCGATGGTCAACTTGTTTTCTCCATACATCCTGGCAAGCTCAGCAAGCCTCACACCACTCTCATACTCCTGTATTATTTCTCACTTTCTTTACCACAGAGTTACCACTAGCAAGTTTCTTTGAGCCCATGGTAGCTTATTTCACAGTCCCACAAGCACTAAACACAATGAAATAATCGTAAAATGTTTGAATGAAAGCGCAGGTTAGTGTTCACTCAAGCATTAACAAAGCCAGACTGGCTCACAGCACCTGCGCGAGGACACGGACAGAGCAGGCTGGCAGACAGGTCCGGTACCCAGCAGTCCGAAAATAGGGGCACGTTCAATAATAGGGACAAAGTCGGTTCGAAAAAAGGGTTCTATTTTTGAAACGTTCGATAAGTGATACGTTCGAAATTTGAGGTTCCACTGTATAATGGTAGTGGGTTTGTGTCAACCATCTTTGATACTGTTTTATGTCACCTTTGCACCATTTATAACATTTCTGGTATATTTTTAAATGTTTATACAGTAGTGTACTGTATATTGTAATAAACAGAATAGAAAAAAATCAGCTCTAATATACATTATTTTGGCATGCATACTGGTCAGAGAGCCCGTCGTAAGTCTGAGTCATCGGTAAACTAGTACATCGCTAAGTGAGGAGAGGCTGTACACTGTTCTGCATTTCTTTTGTTTATTTGCTGTGACATTAGTGGATCTAACAAAAGCTCTGGTGGTCTCTTGTCTAGTGTCACCAAAATGTACAGGCAACAGCACATTCTGTCCCATCTTACTTTGCCTGGGGCTGCTGTCCTGTTGCTGGTGCTCAGCCCAGCAGATATGCAACCACCTCAGAAGAGAGGGGTACAGTTAATCCTATAAGGTATAGCCAATGTTGGCTGAATCCTGATTTACTGAATAAATTCAGACTACTGTTACATTGGGGCAGGTACAGAGGCAGACGAGCCGCTTGCATTACAGCCACACCTCACTTAGCGACGTACTCGTTTACTGACAATCGGACTTACGACGGGCTCTCTGACCAGAATGCATACCTAAATAACATATATTAGAGCTGATTTCCTCTATTCTGTTTATTACAATATACAGTACAATACAAACATTTAGAAATATACCAGAAATGCTATAAATGGTGCAAAGGTGACACTAAAACAATATCAAAGATGGCTGACACAAACCAACTACCATTATAGTATGCTCCTCACTTAGCAACGAATTTGTTTACCAATGTGGTCCTAGGAAAGAAACTCCGTCATTGAGGAGAGGGTGTATTATGTTTCACTGATTTACAGTGGGAAACTTACCCTCTGCAGTGGGGTCATGAAAAGGTTTGGTTCGGAGAGGTTGTCCAGGCCCAGTGCTCGACGAAGGTCGTTGTCGGCACCGGATAGCAGCTGGTAGAATATGTGGTAGTTGGGTTCTCCCTCAGGACGACGCACCACGCGAGTTTTTTCTGGCATATACACCTAAAAGAAAAAATAGTTTCTCAAATGCAATATCGTAAAGGGGAATATAAATAACGAATGCAAGAACTTTCCATAGTACAGCTACACTGTTGTTATGAAAACAAAAACAATGACAAAAAACATAGTATCAAGACTAATGAAGCTTCAAATAAAACTAATTATAACAACATTAAAAGTAATCTGAACATTACCATTATGTATGCTCATACATGTGTTACATCTCTGTAAGTACCATATCATCCATTATGTATACCATTTTAATATTCAAGTATACTCATACACAAGTTCAGTCTGTGTATGCACCACATTCAACAGACAAACCTTTATGTAAGGTTGACAATGATTTGGTACCAAAAACTTGCTTAGGAAATGCATTGCTGCTAATTTTGTTGGATTTTTGTATTACACATGATGATACTGTCCACGAAGAGATCTCTTCTGTTGTGGTCTTAGAGATACACAGTTGTTGTCACTTCTGATGTCTTGTCTTTCTGGTCAGCCATATCAAGTGGTAATCAATGATTCTGTATCTGAGAAATGTGCTCCTCAGGACTCTGTTTTTGGTCTGGTATTGTTTACTGTCTGTGTTAGTGGCTTAATCTTACTGCTGGATGCCGTAAGGTACTTGATGTTTGTGCACCTTTTTTTTTTTTTTTTAACAAGTCGGCAGTCTCCCACCGAGGCAGGGTGACCCAAAAAGAAAATACTTTCATCATTCAACATTTTCACCTCACTCTCACATAATCATTGTTTTTGCAGAGGTGCTCAGAATACAACAGTTTAGAAGCATATACATATAAAGATATACGACATATCCCTCCAAACTGCCAATATCCCAAACCCCTCCTTTAAAGTGCAGGCACTGTACTTCTCATTTCCAGGACTCAGGTCCGGATATATAAAAATAACCGGTTTTCCTGAATCCCTTCACTCAATATTACCCTGCTCACACTCCAACAGTTCATCAGGTCCCAAATACCATTCGTCTCAATTTTCTCCTATCTAACACGCTCACGCACGCTTGCTGGAAGTCCAAGCCCCTCGCCCACAAAACCTCCTTTACCCCCTCCCTCCAACCTTTTCGAGGACGACCCCTACCCCGCCTTCCTTCCCCTACAGATTTATACGCTCTCCATGTCATTCTACTTTGATCCATTCTCTCTAAATGACCAAACCACCTCAACAACCCCTCTTCAGCCCTCTGACTAATACTTTTATTAACTCCACACCTTCTCCTAATTTCCACACCTTCCACACCTATAAGTACTTATTTGGCAGGTATTTGTTGTGTGTGGACCTGTGAGTATCTATTATGAGTGTGTGTGCCTGCAAGTACCTATTGTGACTCATGAAATCGTAATGACACGATTGCAAACAAACCATACCACAGGCAGGGATAGAACCCACAGTCAAAGTCATAAAACTCTAGACTGACGCTTTAGCTATTGGGCCAGCTAAAGTTCGTCATGGCCACGCTGATGAGAGATTCATCTGTAAAAACTTGCATTTGTGGTCACAGTGAGACCTATGCTAACCTTCCTATGGTATATAGATACCTACTTGGATGGATGTTATTGTAGCCAGCTGGCCCAGTGCCTAATGCATCAGTCTGGAGTTTTATGACTCTCTGACCACGGGTTCAATTCCCACGTGTGGTATGCTTTATCTATTGTGTGAAAGAGCACCTGTGATTACCTACTTGTAGCTACAGCAGCAGACCTTTTAATAATCCTACAAATATCCTCAGCTATGGTTTACAACTACTGCTTGGCACAACTCAGGTGTCAATGTACACTGTACAACACATAACTTGTGTACACCATGGCAGGGCCTCCAAGAGAAATTTTGCAAGGCAGAACAAGACTGCTTTGGGGCCCCTGGGGGCAGTCTCAGGCCCCCAATCTAAGTGAACTTTACATAATTATTTTTCTAAATAAACTAAATATAGTTGAAATTTAAAAAAAAAAATGAAAAATCAAAATAAAACATTTAGGGGTATGGGGCCCCTTCAGAGATTCACAGCGAGGCCCAAGACCAATGTACCAGCTGAACCCTGCACCACGGAATAAGTACTTTTTGTGTAAAGTGTATTTTGGGAGATATTAACAAAAAACTATACATTTAATTTTAGTGCACAACACCTGAGCTATTCAAAGCTTCATAATGAGTTGTGGCAAGAGCCTGGTCACATGTACACAAAGACACACCAATACCAATGGCAGAGTAAGGTTAAGTTACTGTCAAGACCCTGGTCACATGTAAACAAAGACACACCAATACCAATGGCAGAGTAAGGTTAAGTTACATTAGGCTGCTTTAGGTTGGTCTGGATGGATTTTGTTAGATTTGATTACATTTTGTCTATATTATTTGCACAATGTAAGAATATCTCAACTGTAAAACAAACTTAATATTCTTCAATTTAAACTATATATTAACCCTTTAATCCTAGGTAGTAGGTTGGTAGACAGCAACCACCCAGGGAGGTACTACCGTCCTGCCAAGTGAGTGTAAAATGAAAGCCTGTAATTGTTTTACATGATGGTAGGATTGCTGGTGTCATTTTTTCTGTCTCATGAACATGCAAGATTTCAGGTACATCTTGCTACTTCTACTTACACTTAGGTCACACTACACATACATGTACAAGCGTATATATACATACCCCTCTGGGTTTTCTTCTATTTTCTTTCTAGTTCTTGTTCTTGTTTATTTCCTCTTATCTCCATGGGGAAGTGGAATAGAATCCTTCCTCCGTAAGCCATGTGTGTTGTAAGAGGCGACTAAAATGCCGGGAGCAAGGGGCTAGTAACCCCTTCTCCTGTATATATTACTAAATTTGAAAGGAGAAACTTTCGTTTTTCCTTTTGGGCCACCCCGCCTCGGTGGGATACGGCCAGTGTGTTGAAAGAAAGAAAGATTAACCCTTTAACATTCCATAATTAAGAAAATGGAGAAATTTGGTTGCGCTTCTAGTATATTATAGAGTGGCTCTTTCTAAGACCTTTTTACTCCTATGACCTTTGCAATACCTTTCATAATTGTTTTATGAATTTCTGAGAGTGGAAGCAGGTATTACTCCTCCTTAGGAGTTACTATTAGCGTCCCTCTGTCAAGTCTGCAAGAACACTGCTTCACATCTCAGCTCCTCACTGCCCTCGGGAAGGAGTTCAAGCTCTCTTATTGGTTATTTGAGGATGACCATGAGTTCCCTTAATAGTCAGAGGCAATGTCATTAATTTCCTGCATCCAGACTGGGCTCTGAGGCCTCCCAGATGGGGCTCACAACAGGATCTTGGAAGGTTAATGGTCGAAATTTGCCTGCTTATTCAATAAGTTTTTTAAGGCTCCAGTTGGCAGTTTCAAGATACATTAACTTAAAACAGCCTTTTATCAAGTTGATTAAAGCTCTCTTGACAAATATCCCAAGATGAACTGACTGGTAAACATTCTTACTTGTACTGATGCTGAGGCAATTTGTCCAGAATGGTCAAAATCCAGGCTGAATATCTGTGTGAAACGTGTTGCATTGGTGTTCATTACTGTCCGACTGTTGCCAAAAGCTTCAAGTAATGTTGATATGGCATTTAGTTTCTCAACTGAAATAAAAAAAATGCATTAAGTTGAAAACAGATGAAACATAAAATAGAATAAACAAAACTATAAACTAAGTTTAAATGAAAAATATGACCACTGAAACAAGGTGTTTTTGTACTATTGATTATTAAACTTTTTATGTAATACAACACAGTGGAAAATTTTCAGTGATTCAATGTTCACTATTGTATTGAGGAAGCAAATTACACATACTGAACTTCAGAAGAAAGTAGTCACATACTCCAAATTTATATGTTAATAAGAAATACAGGATTGTATTTATAAGTGAGTGTCTGAGTGATGAGTAACAATACCTGGTACCTGGTGTTCTGTACATCATGTATTTCAAATAATACCTGGTACTTGGCTAGCAGTAACAGTCTGGTTGATCAGGACCTGATCCACCATGAGGCCTGGTCATGGACCAGGCCACAGGGGCATTGACCCCCCACAACACTCTCCAAAGATACTGTACAGTACATCATATATAACAAGTAATACCTGGTACTTACTGTACTGTACATTACATATCACAAGTAATACCTGGTACCTACTGTACTATACATTACATATTACAAATAATGCCTGGTATACTTATTGTACTGTACATTACATACTACAAGTAATACCTGGTACCTACTATACTGTACATTACATATTACAAGTAATACCTAGTACTTACTGTACTGTACATTACATATTACAAGTAATACCTGGTACTTACCATACTGCACATCACATATTACAAGTAATACCTGGTACCTACTATACTGTACATTACATATTACAAGTAATACCTAGTACTTACTGTACTGAACATTACATATTACAAGTAATACCTGGTACTCACCATACTGCACATCACATATTACAAGTAATACCTGGTATCTACTGTACTGTACATCCCACATTTCATCTGGTCATATTGTAAACCAACACAAGTCCAGTCAGTTATAAAATAAAGACACAATACCATTCTGGAACAATACACAAATAACCCGCATACAGGACTGAGAAGCGACGTTTTGGTCCAACTTTGATCTAACTCAGACTGAAACATCGTCATAAGCTTCTCTCTCTTATGTGCGGGTTATCTGTGTACAGTAAGTTATAAACACGGGTAACACGCTAACCTGTGAGCACTTTATTAGCAGCCCCAGCAGCTAGTGCCAGGTAGTGCAATATGTGCCGGAAATTAGTAGTCTTTCCAGCTCCGGAGCGGCCGAGGAAGACAATGCTCTGGTCACGCCTGGTGGCCAGCAGGTCACGGTAGGAAGCTTGAGCAGCAGAGTATATGTGTGGTGGCATGTCCTCCAGTTTGCAACCTTTGAACATTTGAATAACCTGCAGAAATTTATACATGATTAGCGACTCATTAACTCCTTGACTGTCGCGATCCCAAATCCTGAGGTGTCTCCTGGGGTCGCAAAATTTCAAAATTTCAAAATTTCAAAAAAAAAAAAAAAAAAAAAAAAAAAAAAAAAAAAAAAAAAAAAAAAAAAAAAATCTTATGAAATGATAGAGAATCTTTTCCCGATTGTAATGACACCAAAAGAACGAAATTTGATGGAAAACTGATGGAATTACGCTCTTGCAAAGTTAGCGACCTCGGCGATTTCGCCCACTTTGAGCCCTATTTTCGGCTAATTCCATTGTTCCAGTCGACCAAACTCATAGCTATTTCTTTAGAACTCCATTTTTTTATATCGACTGAGTACAAGAAACTGCCCATTTACCCATTTCAACTATCCAATAACTTGGTCAAAATTTGTAATTTGGCCAATTTCACGAAAATTAAAAAATATGACAATTTCAAAATAGGGTCCAGAATGAACAATGCAGACATTCCTGGCTCTAAAATAATATTTTCTTTGTTCATCAGTCACATCTCCAGGCCCCTCTGATATTACTCTTGCTTTCTATTTTGAATTTTTATTCAAACAAAAAATAGAAGATTTACTGTTATGCAGACTACTGCAATATTGCAATAATTGTATAAATAATGTCAACCCATTCATGACCACATATTAGAATGCCTACTTGGACATTTATTGGAAAATGACATCATTTGTTTACTTTTAAACATCGGCAAAAATCAAACATTTCCCCTAGTTTGAGTTCCATTTCAAGGTTCTTTTCATAGCAAAACCAATCAAAATTACCTCTATTTCTATAATATGTTTTCCATTCTATCAAATGAGACCAAGAAAACGAAAATACAACCATAAATACTATATGAAAATAGACCACAAAATCAGCATTTTAATTTAAAAAAATGGTCGGATTTTTTCTCTCATTATGCACTGCGTTCTGCAGGATTTTTTTTATATGGTGCACACTGACCACACAGAACCATTCTCTCACATGTGGGCCTACCAGCTTTCTCCTGCTTGATTTGAAGCCACTAGAATTTATGAGTATATATACGTCAAAAACGGTGGCTCGTAAGATGTATATATACGACCAAAACAGTCAAAGGGTTAAATAATCAGGGAAAGGTGCACACTGCTAGCACTAACACTCTCAATGATCAAGTCATCACTGAGACTGTCTGGTCTGGGAATGGATCAGTGGAGAATATAGTGTGTAAGCACTCACTGTGCGACTCAATAATAATAGAATTATATGTAACAGAGCTTCATAATTCAAATTCATTTTCATTTCTTTTCATGTGGTACAAAAATAATGTAGTTTGGATGTAATATAACACTGGTGGGCACACAAGAACACCACTAGTATGTAATGAATCTCAGGTAGATTATGTAATCCTAATGCTTAAAGGCTACTTAAGAAATAGACTATTAAGTAGGATTTTTATGCAGTTACCTACAATCATATGGAGAAAGAAAGGTAGTAGCTTAAAAAATAAACACAAAAGATAGCTGTCAGTATATGATATATAAGGCATAAGAAGCCTCCACTTCTAACCCACAATGTATAAAGTAACAATTTACTGAGAGAATGTGTATTTACTACCACTGATGTTCATCTATCAGAGAGAAAGTTTCCCCTATAATACCTTAATACACTGTTTACATCACATCTGTCAAATATTGTTACCATATATGTATCTCCAACAACATTGGAGGAGTTTCGTGTCGTTCATTTTCTATTGCTTAATTGCTTAACTTACTTGCTACACTGTTAATGCTACACTTCATCGCTGGCTGGCGCTATAGCCTTTATCGACTCCTGCTGCTTTACTATTGTACATATCATAGAATCACTGAAGAAGGCACATTCTCCCCTCTCTCTTCCTCCTCCACTTTGGTACTTTGCTAATAGTTCTTTCTTGAATTCTATCATGTTTCTCACCTTCTTTACCAAAGAACTGGCATTAGGAGCTTCCTTTGGGCCCATGGTGGCTTATTCAGCAGTCACACACAACAAACAAGCGCAAAAAAAATGTATTATTACGAAATGTTGTGTATGACCTCACAGGGTTATGTTCACTCGCTGAGAAACAATGCCAGACTGATTCAGAATGCTCTGTGGGAGGCTATGTGTGCACGTGGGCACTCGGACATGTTCCGTACGACTGATGAAAACAGAGCCTATATTTTTAGGGAAAAAGTCAGTGATAACTAAAATTCACGAAAACAGAGCTTAACGAAAACAGAGGGTCCACTGTCCATACTGTTGTCTATTGTTAAGATAAGATTTTAGGTAATCGAGGGAATGTCCTCCGATGCCGTAATGATTTAGCTTTAGGCGCAGGAGATTGTGGTCCACTGTATCAAATGTTGTTGGATATAAGGTAGAAGTAAAGTCGTTTGTGCATTATTTTTTCAAATATTTTAGAAAGTAAGGGCAAGTTTGATATAGGTCTATAGTTGTTCAGGTCAGTTGGGTCACCTCCTTTGATGATCGGGGTAACCCTTGCTGTCTTGAGTATGGATGAGAAGGTTGATGACTCTACAGATTTGTTAAACAGTGTTGTAGTAATGGGTGACAACACGTAAGCAGCTTTTTTATATATGAATGGTGGCAAGTTATTTAGCTCTGCTTTGTTTTTTAATGATTTAATGATGAGTGAGACTTCAGTCGAATTAGTTGGAGCTAGATATAGAGTATTTGGGTAGTTGCCAGTGAGGTCGTCTTTCAGCTGGGTATTTGAGCTAGGAGTGCTTGCTAGCTTCAATCCTACAGTAGAGAAGAAGACATTAAATTTGTTGGCTGTGTCTATAGGCTGTATGTGAGGTTCATCTAAATCAGTTAAACTTATTTCTCTGTTTCTAGACAGTTTTATAGAGCCCAAAATTCTGGAGAGGGTTTGACAGGTCCTTTTCATATCACCTTTTATTTCAATAAATCTATTTTTGTAATACATTTGCTTTGATTTTCATATTAGTTTTGTGAGTATTGACATGTATCATTTAGCCAGTTCTTTAATAATCAGGCCTAATCTGAACAGTTTTTCAAGTTCATGCTTTTTATCTATGGAATTGAGGACACTATTTGTTAGCCATGGGCTGTTTAGTCTCTCTGCTGTGATCTGCTTCGTTTTGATTGGACAATGCATGTTACAGAGGTTTTGGGTTTTATGTAAATAAGTTTTGACATCTTCGTCAATATTATTGCTGTCAGCCAGCTCACTCTGCCAATCAATGCCACCTAGTGCTAATATCAGATTATTTACTGATGGCTTGTTGTGCAAGCGAAATGAGATCTCTCGAATCTTGAGGCAATTTACATAGGGTGGTTATGAGAAAAGGTGGGGGTAGTGGTCAGTAGTGTTGTCTGTGATTATACCTGCTTGTAGTGGAGATATTGTGTTGGTCCAGATATGGTCAAGTAATGAATCACTTGTCTCAGTGTTTGTGAAATCAGCTACAGGAGGGTCAGTTGCTTGGATAAGGTTCCTGTAAGTATCAGGTGGTGTTTATTCAACTCTTGAGTCAGTTTTCATGTTTCTAAGGTTATCACTAAAAGTGTAAGTATTTGTGTGTGGTAATCTGTAGACTGCTCCAACTCTTATAGGTTTTTTTTGTTTTTCTTTTTATGTGATTTTAGCTATTATATATTCACCATTGTCGTCCCTTGAAAAGCTATATGATAGGGTATATGTATAGGAGAGCAATGTGGCATATGTTACAAGTGTATGGAATAGGTGGAAAGTTACTGAAAGCAGTTAAGAGTTTTTACGAAGACAGTGAGGCTCAGGTTAGGGTAAGTAGGAGAGAGAGAGATTATTTTCCAGTAAAAGTAGGCCTTAGACAGAAATGTGTGATGTCACCATGGCTGTTTAATATATTTATAGAAAGGGTTGTAAGAAGTGAATGCAGGGGTGTTGGGAAGAGGTGTGGGTTTGGATAATAAAGAATTTAACACAAAATGAGAGCTGTCACAGTTACTTTTTGCTGATGACACTGTGCTTCTGGGAGATTCTGAAGAGAAGTTGCAAAGATTAATAGATGAATTTGGGAGGGTGTGTAAAAGAAGGATATTAAAAGTGAACATTGGAAAAAGCAAGGTTATGAGGATAACAAAAAATTTAGGTAATGAAAGACTGGATATCAGATTGGAGGGAAGGAGTATGGAAGAAGTGAATGTGTTCAGAAATTTGGGAGTGGACTTGTCAGCGTGTGGTGAGTGGCACACTAAGGAGTCTGTGAAGACAAAGAATGTTATCCATGGAAGCAAAGAGGGGAAAGTATGAGAGTATAGTGGTACCAATGCTCTTATATGGGTGTGAAGCATGGGTGGTGAATGTTGCAACAAGGAGAAGGCTGGAGGCAGTGGAGATTTCGTGTCTGAGGGCAATGTGCGGTGTCAATATAATGCAGAGAATCCATTGCTTGGAGATTAGGAGGTGTGGGATTACTAAAAGTACTATCCAGAGGGCTGAAGACGGGTTGTCGAGGTGGTTCATAGATTTAGAGAGTATGGAACAAAACAGAATAACTTGGAGGATGTATAAATTTGTAGTGGAAAATGGAAGGAGGGTGGGGTAGGGGTCGTCCTAGAAAAGATTGGAGGGACGGGGGCTAAGGGAGGTTTTGTGTAAGGGGCCTCCAACAAGTATGTTAGATAGGAGCAAGTGGAGGCAAATGGTTTTTATGGCTTGATGTGCTGTTGGAGTGTAAGCAAAGTAACATTTATAAAGGGATTCAGGGAAACTGGTTAGCCAAACTTGAGTCCTGGAGGTGGGTACTACAGTGCCTGTACTCTGAAGGAGGGGTGGGGTTATGTTGCAATTTTGAACTGTAGTATTGGCATGCCTCTGTCAAGACAGTGATGGAGTGAATTATGGTGAAAGTGTTTCTTCTTTATGGATCACCCTGCCTCGGTGGGAAATAGCGGTTTTTTTTTTTTTTTTTTTTTTTTTTGAGAGAGAGAGAGAG